TCTACATCAGAGTATCATAAACATGCAAATGTGTTGTTAAATTATTGAATTATTGACTTAAGATCTCTTTAACAAAATATTTTAGCTCAAAGGGCTTGGCCTACAAGTTTGGAGTCCCTGGCATATAGAAATACTATATTCACACACACACACACACACACACACACACACACACACACACACACATATCTGCTCTAATTTATTCTACAAATCAGGTTCTTAAATTATTCTTATTCCTAAATAAAACCAATTTTTTTTTAATTGTTACTTGAGATAAAAAAAAGGTTAACTTAAAATAAAAAACATTATTATTATGATTATTATGATTATTATTATATTAAACTAAAATAAAACTATTATTATTATTATTAAGTAACATTAAATTAAATTAAAGCAAAATTATTATTATTATAAATAATATTACACTAAAGTAAAACAAAATTATTATTAATAACTAGCTGAAATAACAGCTAGTTGCCAAGGAAACATTTCTCATTTTTATTTAGTTTAAAGTACTAAAATAAGTGAAACTAGAACTGAAATAAATAGTGATAAAAAAGATATACATAGACATTTGAAAAACAAAAATGACTAAAACTGATAAAAATTACTAAAAGAAACTAAAATGACTAAATGTACTACTTTAATTACTAAAAGAAAAACAAAAAATATTTGTAAAAATAAAAACCAATTCAAAATATTTATGAAAACTATATTTGTATATCAATGAAACTAAAATAACTCTGCCATAAAAGTGTCTAATAACTGGGGGTTACTGAGATAAAGTGAGTAGTATTTAGGTAAAACTTTATTTTAAGTTATCTTTGATACACAGGTTACATGCACTTACTATTATAATAACAATTAATTATGCATATTTACATGCAAGTAAATCTAAGCCAAACCCTAATCCTAACCCTAACCATATAGTAAGTACATGTAGTTTATTAATATTACTCAGTACTTAAATGTGTAATTACACTGTAACAAGGACACCTTAAAATAAAGCGTAACCAGTATTTTTCTTGTCGCTAAAGGGAAACATGGAAGTGTTCAGTGACAGGTGTGTGTCCATCTGCAGATGCTCTCATTCCAGCGGATCACACAGTGAGGGTCACAGCGGGAGACACAGCTGTATAACTGCATGCAGACTTGTTTTTCCACTGGTCAGACACCCAAACGCATGCATTTGCTCCAGGACTGACGTGCACGTTTATTTGATGTCTCAGCAGCTTCCCTGCTCGAGTCCTGCAGTGATGACATTCAAATCAATGATCGCAATTATTCTGGAACTTTTTCTGACAAACAGATGGAGGATCCAGCGTGAAGCCACTCAATGGGAGGCACACAAACATCTCTGGGGCAAAACAAGTACATGAACACAGACTGTAAAGATGTGGTAAATCACGGTAAATGTCCTGATAGGCTCTGACATGCTGCCGCCAAACCGCTGTGTGGAAGTGTGACCCCGTGACCTTTGTTAAACACAAAAACCATTCAATGTCTCTTCACATCAACTAACTAATTAATGATCATTCATGCAACTGCAATTAAAGGAATAGTTCTGCCAAAAATTAGAATTTGCTGAAAATGTTCTCACCGTCAGGCCACCCGAGATACAGATGAGTTTGTTTCTTCGTCAGCTTTGGAGAAATGTAGCATTTCATCACTTGCTCTGCAGTGAATGGGTGCCGTCAGAATGAGAGTCCAAACAGCTGATAAACACATCACAATAATCCACACCGCTCCAGTCCATCGCTGTTTCTTGGGGTGAACTATTTCTTTAAGGACACTGTTGCATAACAAACTGGATGCAAATCTGTCAGCTGGGTATCACATATATAACAGAAGTGGTTATTTAGGACAAAAGGGACAATCTGCAATGGTCATTAAGTTGGTGTATTGCTGGATTCATGACTCGTGGGAAACTAAACTCTCTGTGCAAAACTACCCGTGACTGATTTCCACCACAGAAACCACAAGAGAAGGGAGGCATAGTTATACATTAGTTATTAAGACATTAGTTTTGCATGCATTTCACAGATTTGATGCCAATAAATCTAGTGACTAGTCCTTCGTCTAAAGAGTGCATAAACCTAGTATTTTCAGCTGGTCTTGCCATTGGTAATTGAAATATTCATTCACAAGAACAAAGCAACTGTTCACAGAAGCCATTCTCAAGAAAATAATTAAAGCTTAAAATCCATGCAAAACTGATCAGATATTGTTTCTAGTCTGGCAGTTGTTTATTAAGTGCATTAGGTTTGTCTAACAGTGCCATCTATTGGCACTGCATCTCAGAGTGCATGTGCACCTGATAAATGCATTTCAGATTTTTCCTGTAAATTCTTAGATAACTTTTTTTTTTAAATCACGTTTTCAAATGAATATTTATTAACATTAGCTCAATTTTCCAGAGGAGATCAATAAAGCTGTTTATCTCATCTTCAGAAGTATTACAAATTTTAAGATGAATTGACAAAAATACAGACATTCGGGCAAATATTAACTGCGGGTATTTTCACTCAGAAATTAGTAGTACGTTTCACAATTAATTACAATGAAATGTCAAGTAACAGAACTAAACAAGACATTTTTAAGTAGAAAAACGTATTTTCTTGTAAAACAACCAAAAAAAAATCTTATTTTTTTGTGCATTTTATTCCTGTTAAATTACTACAAAATACGTGTTTAGTAATCTTAGTGTCTACATTCACATTTGTATTAACCTTACATTTATTCACGCAATTTTTACAAAGCTGTGGTCTTTCTGAATTTCAGTTCTGATTCATTAAACCCCTGTCTGTCGGTGATCTATATGTGACCCTGGAGCACAAAACCAGTCATAAGGGTCAATTTTTTAAAATTAATAAGAATAAATAAGCTTTCCATTGATGTATGGTTTGTTATTATAGAACAATATTTGGCCGAGATACAACTATTTGAAAATCTGGAATCTGAGGGTGCAAAACAAATCTAAATATTGAGAAAATCATCTTTAAAGTTGTCCAAATGAAGTTCTTAGCAATGCATATTACTAATCAAAAATTAAGTTTTGATATATTTACGGTAGGAAATTTACAAAATGATCTTTACTTAATATCCTTATGATTTTCGGCATAATTTTGACCCATACTATGTATTGTTGGCTATTGCTATAAATATACCCCAGAGACTTAACACTGTTTTTGTGCTGCAGGCTCACATATGAAGTTGTGTGAATGGATGACATTAACATTAACACATTCACACTTCAACAAAAGCATTTCACCCGTCGGGGGTCTGATGAGATGAAAAGGGCGGGTCAGGATCCTCCCTCCGGTCCAAATGTCCCGCTCCGCAGTCTCTCTATCCACACAGAACCAGATGAACCCTGAAACAAACATGTTCTCCTGCCAGAGCTTCATCTTCAGCCTCACGCTGCTCGCCGCTGGATTTAACCTCCTGAGCTCAGCAGGTGAGTCATAAACTCTTCACATCTCATCAGACTAGACAAAAGATGAAGAACTAGTCACTTTGAGACACTTGCTTCTCCTCTGTCACTGTCAGTTTTTCATTATTTAACCCTCATAGGTTGTGTTCTGGTCTCTTCTTTTTCCTGAAAATGCTAGTCGAAGTTATCGCATTGGACTAAAACTCACACAGGATATAACAACTTGCTAAAAAATTCTTGATAACTTTTGTATATTTTGGGACGTTTTCCCCCAACTTATTACACTTGTCAAAAATGACCGGCGTACAAACGTATAAATCTCTCATTATGCTGTATTATTATTACCAAATCTTGGATTCTGTCTTTTTATCAACTTGTTTTCTTTCAATTAGCACAGGTTTTTTTATTTTTTTTATTTCTTTGATTAATTTGAATGATCATAAACGTTATTGATCTGAGCTTATGCACCTCAGTTTTTGAGTGAACACTGCCAAAAAAAATAAAATGCTTTTATTAAAATGCAAATCATTTTTTTTCCACACAAAAACTGAGGTGCATGAGCTCTAGGTCTACGATCAATCAGTTCCAAAAAGAAATAAAAACTTGTGCCAACAAATCTAAATCAAGAGATCCTAAAAAATAAAATCAGTTCTCATATTTTTTTTTTAAAAATGTAACATCTTATACTGATAGTTACTGTGCACATTTAAGTGTTAAAACAGGAAAACACTAGTGAGACCGACAAAGCAACAGGACAAGAAGAGTTCATTATCAACATTTATGCATCATCACTTATTATTTGAGATTATTCCTTTATGATATTACTTGTATGATCAGCTAAAATGCAACATAAAATAATGAAACTTGAATGTAAAGGATGTAGAGAAAATCAATCTCCAGTCAAATCAAGTCACTGGCATTTACAGTGCAATATACAGTCTTGCTCATGCAATGCTTTTAGCTTTTTAGAATTATTACAATCAGTGGCCGGATGCATAAACTGCTTAGACTAGTCTTAAAAGTTAGTCATCTATTTTTTTTTTT